TGTACACACACATGGCCCAGGACTCAAAGAAGTTGGAGGAGGAGATACCATATGAACTGAAGGTGCTGTGGTCACAGGTTGCCCTCTGCCAACAAGGTGAGCTAGATCTGCAGCACTGCACGAACTTCCATAGAGCCTGGTGTTCTGTATCAACTTTAAGAGGGTAAGAATGGCTACTCTTTCATTTGTGCCTTCCAAATTGCATGCAAATTTCTCCTGTGGACAATTGCAAACAACTTATGGAAGGAAATTCTGGGAAGTGTAGTTTCAAATAGTCAGTGCAAAACCACATCTTGTATACCTTGTATAACCAATGTAAGGATCTTGGAGCCCCTTAAACTCTGTCCTGTTCCAACTTGTATGGTACTGTTTTCTAGTATTTTAGTTCTTTCTTCAAATATTACAAATTAAAGACCACTACAGTTGTTTTCTAAAGGCAATATTTGTTTAAATTGACCTTTTTATCATTTTCTTAATCTTTCTTCTTGCATCTCAGATTTTCCTTCTGTCATCATTCTCCTCCTCAAAGTATATTTTTTAGAAGTTGTTAGTTTCTCCATTGGTGGACACAATACCAACACTCACATTTTAAATTCTCTTCCCTCAGCTAGGTATGGCGGCGCATGCATGTAATCAAAAGCACTTGCGAGGCTGAGGCAGGAGGATCACTGTGACCAGCCTGGGCTACATAGTGAGTTCCATGTCAGTCTTAACTACATAGTGAGACCCTGTCTCAAAATCCCCCCAAATTCCCTTCCTTCCATCTACAGGAGGATCTGTGACCAGCCTGGGCTACATAGTGAGTTCCATGTCAGTCTTAACTACATAGTGAGACCCTGTCTCAAAATCCCCCCAAATTCCCTTCCTTCCATCTCTTGATCCCCTTTCCATTTGAAAAAGATCTATCTCCCTACTTCCTATTATTTATCTTTTATTTTGTTCTTTATATATAAATGTGTCCGAGTTATTTCACTTAACATAATGGTCTCAAGGTGTATCCATTTTCCTGCAAATGACTCAGAGTTATCCTTCTTTATGGTAGAGTACAGTAGCATTCTACTGTGTATAAATACCATTTTTCCATTCATCTGTTGATGGACATATAGGCTGCTCCCAAGATTTAGCTATTATGAGTTGTGTTTCTGTAAACAGGTGCATAGATCACTGTAATGTGATGTTTTTAAGTCTTTCAGGAAGACATCTAGAAGGAGAATAGCTGGATCTAGTTTTAGCTTTCTGTTGTTTTTCATTTGTTTGGTTTTCTGTTTTGTCTTTTGAGACAGGATTTCATTATGTAGTTCAGGCTGACATCGAACTCACTATGGAGTCTCGGCTGGCCTCAAACTCACAGTGATCCTCCTGCCTTGGCCTCCTGAGTGCTGTACAGGTGTGTGCCACCACTCCTGGCCACAGTTTTTTGAAGAATCTCCATGCTGACTTTCATAGTGGTTGTACTAGTTCACATTCCGACCAACATGTGGAAAGGGTTTCTTTTCCTTGTAGCCTTGCCCACCCATTGAGATTTGGGTGTTTTTTTTTTTTCCTTCTGTTCTTGCTGTTTCTTTAAACAGGGTCTTGCTATGTAGTTCAGGCTGGCCTTGAACTCTTGGCAATCCTCTTGCTTCACCCTCTTGAGTGCTGGGATTACAGGTGTGAACCACCCTGCCCAGCTGAGATTTGAGTTTTTACAATGCTGTTATTTAAAAAATTTCTACTCAGTTCCTTTTTACATTTACCTGCTCATTTTAAATAATACTGCCCTGATGTATGATTTAGATAATTTTATATTTTAAAAATTCATAAATACTTTGTGTTGTGTTAATTTCAATATTTGAAGTCCTCGCTGATTTGTCTGCTGTTTGTTGTTTCTGCTGATCCTGTAACATAGTGGTTTTCTTTCTTTGCACTGTGTATGCACGTGTTTGTGTGTGTGTGTGTGTGTGTGTGTGTGTGTGTGTGTGTGTGTATGCATGTGTGTGTTGGGGAATCTAATCCAGGGCTTAGTGTATGTTAGGCAAGTTATTTACAAGCCCTAATTGTTTTCTTATATCCCTTATTATGAGCTCAGATTTGATTAGCCTTACTTTGAAGGGTGTCTGGAAGCCAACATTGAGGTTGCCTTCCATGACAGGAGACCTCTGGGTGTGAGGGTGGAATGGATGTATGTGTGTTTCATTTGTCCTCAGAGCAACATTCACCTCCATGAGAATCCCAAACAAAATAGAAATTAATATTTATGCAAGACTTAGTTTTGGAAGCAGCAGGGCTCTTCCTTCCGGCTGTCTGCCACGCTGCCAGCAGGAGGAAGCTTTCCTTCATTCTTACTCTCACTGCTATGTGACTTCTATTCCGCCCATGCATGGTCTGATTACTAACAGTCACGTCATCCAAGAGGTCCCTTTCTGCGTGCACAGCATTTGACATTGACCATTATTACCTAATAACTGGTTTCTTTCTGATTTTTCTTCCCAGCTCTGTTGCCACAGCTCTGTGTCTCCTTTTGTGGTGGTTCTTTTACCTACTCCTTGAGGATTGATAATCTTTGAAGTTCTACCCTTGGACATGTTCTCACACTTCTTTGGCAAGCTCATCTACTCTTATGATTTTGGCTCCCACTTAGGTGATGATAATTTCAAAATCTGTTATCTATAACTAAACCTCTTTCCTTTGCATCATATCAGTACCATACAGTATATCCAGTTGTCCATGATATCTTTTCCTGGATGTCCTCAAATATTTTTTGTCTCAAAATGAACTCCAAGTCTCTAATCTGTTACTTCAAATCTCAATTGGTAGCTGTACCATAGTTCCAGTCGCCAGGGCCAAAAACCCAGGAGTCATCCTAATCCTCTCCCCTCTTTATATTCAAATGATCACTAAGATTTGCTGAAGTACTTTTTTTTGTTTTTGGAGACAGGGTCTCACTCTGTAGCTCAGGCTGGCCTCCAACACACGGCCGTCCTCCTGACTCAGCCTCCCAAGTGCTGGGATTATAGGTGTGCACCACCATACCCAGCTTCAATCTACTTCTTAAAATTCCCTCCTATTGAATCTGGAAATTTGGGCAGGCACTCTTGTATTTTGCCTCTAGGAGTGTAAATTATTATATCTCTTAATACAGCAATTTAAGGAATATATTTAAAGTTTGAAAAATGTTTATATCCTTTAACAATTTCATGTCTAAAAATGATCTAAGGAAATAAAGTTGTATATAAAGACATAACTACAAGAATTATTATTATTATTATTATTATTTTTGGTACCGGGGATCAAACTCGGGTCCTTGCGCTTGCAAGGCAGGCCACCGAACTGCTGAGCTAAATCCCTGGCCCTACAAGAATTATTATAGCAAAATTGTATACATAATTTAAATTTGGGATAATACATAAATACATTATAGTACATTCATAAAATGGAATAGTATGCAGTTAGAAAATTTCATTGTATTTTTAAATGTGGTATTGGGACTTTATATGTGGGACCAAGACCTTTGCACTAAACTACATTCCTAACCCTTTAAAAAATTTTTAATTTCAGACCAGGCATGATGGCACACACCTGTAATGCCAGTACTCAGGAGGCTGAGGTAGGAGGATCACCATGAGTTCAAGGCCATCCTGGGCTTCATAGTGAATTTAAGGCTGGACTAAATAGCTAGACTCTGTCTCAAAAAACAAGAAAATATTAAAAAAATTTTTTTGAGACAGGGTCTCACTATGTAATTGAGACTGACCTGGAACTCACTGGTCTCAAACTCACAGCGATCCTCCTGCCTCAGCCTCCTGAGTGCTAGGATTGCAGATGTGTGCCACCACGTCCAGCAAACTTTTAAAAATTTTAAGATGGGGTCTTGCCAAGTCAGGGCTGGAATGAAACTTATGATTTTCTTGCCATAACCAGCTGTAGAATATTTTTGACACAGGAAAATGTACCTGATTGTATGGCTATGTAAAAAATACAAGACTCAAAATACTGGTACAATATGATATCATTTTTGTGGAAATGTTTTTGCTTCCTATTAGTAGGCCATATAAGAATATATTAAGGGCTGGGGGTGTAGCTCAGTGGTACATGAGCATGTTTGATCCCAGCAACACACACACACACACACACACACACAGACACTCTTTCAGTTTCTGGTAAGGCTCCCTGGCTGCCTTTTTTCAGGACTTTTCTGCAGGAGCCCTCACCCCCACCTCCATTACTGCAGGTTCTAGGAGTGTTCTCCACTTCCTGCCTGCCCATCAGCACATGCTCTGGTGGTACAGGGCCCACATTTGGGGACCTGACTTTATTTACCTGTTTGCTGTGAGCAGGGGTGACCTTTCCTTTTCGTATACTGGGTGCCTACACTTGAAGATGTTCAGCAGTATTTTGTTGAATGGTTCACATTAATGATTTCTTTTAGGCAGAGTCACAATTAGACTCCTAGAGCTTCTCTCTCTTTGGTGAAAGTTGCAGTAACACACTTGGCTATACATCTTCAAGCACAGATAGACACAAGATTGTGATAGACAGTATACATAAACATAAAGACAAACCTTTACATATTTTATGTCCTATTCAACAGGCAGCCTCAGGGCCTTTGCACTTTTTGATCAATGTTCTAATCTTTCAGCTCTTTATATGGCTGGTTCTCTCCCATCTTTCCAGTCTCAGTCTTTTTCAGTGTCACTTCAAAAGAGGTCTTCAATGACCTAATTAACCTCTTTTTTCCCATTTCTATTGCCTTATTTATTTCCTTTACAGCATTTTGAACAATTTATAAAACTCTTTTTTCTTATCTGTTTTGTTCCACCACCTACTCTGGTCAAGTTCTACAAGGGCAGAATTTTATACTATTTTACATACCACTGTAAACGTAAATTTGCCCAGGCAAACTAATGAATACAAACAAAAGCTACAAATAATTACAAATACAGTGATAACCACACATTGCCAGTCATTTAGACACACAAAGCCATTCACTCTGGCTGCCCACCACCCCCGTCTCCACTTACCGGAGTCACAAACTTGTTGGCTTCCCAGGCCCAAAGAGGTGGGTCTTTATAGACCTCCTTGATGGAGGTAGGAGCCCTGTAGGAGTCAGTGTAGGTGCTGATGGGGGTCTTGGTTTTATGAGAGAAGAGGAACATGGTGGGATCTCCGGGATGCCGTGGCGGGCTCTACCTATCAAAGACTCCTGCTGGACATCAGTGATCACCCCCCTTTCTTAGGCAGCCCACACCTCCAGCCTGGCAGGTGCCCCTAGCTGCTGTGACCCCCTCCTGTGGAGGATCTCTCAGCTTCCCTTCCCTACAGCCTTCCTGCTCTCACCCTCCCCTGCTTTCTCCTCCAGGGTGGCCACTGCCCATTATGAGATCACCTGGCTCAGCGCCATCCCCTGGGGAGGTAAGGAGGTCTAATTTTCCCTCTACTCCCAGCCCCTTCATGCCTTAGACTCTCAAAAGAGTCCAATTTCCAAGAGTTCAGAGGGTTCCCGAAAGTCCTCCAGGCTGGGCTTCTCACTTCTTTGGAGAGGAACACAAGTTCTGAGGGGCTGTGATTCACCTAGAGTCACACAGCAGTTCAGTGGCACCCCTGGGAACCCACAAGGTAAGGTGTCATGTTCATCCAGATCAGTTCTCTCCCCTTCCCAGTCCACTTGCCCTTGGCCTACCCCCCAGGTAGGGAGCTGAGGCTGGCTTGTTTGATGCTTTTAATATCATTATTTGTGTTACACAATACACAACCAAAGATGATGGTCAATACTGCGATGGAAATGTTAAAAAAAATATTATACACGGCTCATGTCTTCCACACACCTTCCTGAAAATAAATTAGTGAGCACGGAGAAACCTGGCTGGGTAGCAGCCACAGCTGGGGGTTAGGGGGAGTGTTAAGGCAGTATCTACAAGGGGGCAGGGGCAGGGGGAGGGGCAAGCCAAGGCCTTGGTTCTTCCCCTTCAGCCTCCTAGAATGCAAAGGGGGGGGGAGAGCCATGAACTCTAGATGAGGAAGCTGCTGGCTGCCAGCTTCCTGTCTCTTCCTGCCATATATGTACTGCCTTAGTTGAAGCCCTTGCCTGCCAGGGAGCTAGTATGTCCTGTGGGAAGGGAACTTTTTCCGGCTTCCTCAGGGCCACAGAGATTGATCAATGGGCCAGTGTCACACCGTAAGTCAAGAGAAAAATGTGGAAATCTAAAAAAGAGGAGATACCCATGTTCTAGAAGGGGAATCAAGGAGCCCAGGGGCTAACGGTGTAGTGGGAGGCCTGGCTCTGGGGCCCAGATGCCAGTGGTGGTGGGATGCTGACCAGGGTGGGAGAGGGGCTCAGGTGGGGGTCACTATGGTTCTTGTGGGCTCTGAATTTACCTTGATTGTTCTTGCCTCCCTTTGGCATTTTCTCATCATCTAACTAGATAGAGTCCTTGCATTAGAAGAGATAAAGGTGGGTTAGAAGTGTGGGGAATGGAGAGCTGCACCCCAACACTTTGGAGCTGGCATCTCCTGGATGGGGAGCAGGAGCCGGTGCTACCCCTCTGCTCCTCTCCTTCACCCCCTTCCAGCTCCTGCCTCCCAGGACTAGTGTCCAGAGAGTAGTATCCATGACAGTGGATACCCGGCATGTGTTGGCTGTCAGCATGGGGGACTGGGGAAGTGTACTTCTTTGCTCTGTGGGAGGAGGCTTGTGGGCACAGGCCCAAGCAGTCTGAGGCTACATGTACTTTCATTTCTCTTCACATGGAGGCAGGTTATGAATTGCCCAGCCCCTATTCACCTCTTCCCTCTTGATCTTTATCCTCAGTTGTTTTGGCCTCTGCCCCTAGACCAGCAATAGTAGCAGAAGCGACAGGACAAATATTCTGACCCACAGATACTTCACACAGCTGCACACAAAAGTAGATACTCTACACATATTCACACAGAAACATAAATCTCTTCCACACAGATCCTCATGTGCTTCCTCTTACCCTTTCCACACAAACACATACCCCAGGGAGCCTGCTAGACACACTCAGAGACACATAGAGATCTCATACTCCTCTGCAGAAATTCCTGTGAAGAAATTCCTTTGGGTATGAAAGAACCTTAACAATAATTTCAGCTGCTGTGGATTTTTCCGTTGAGAAAACTGAAGCCCAGAGATAGCATATAGCTTGCTGAAGATATGCAGCATCAGAGTTAGGACCAGAACACAGGCTTTAGACTCGCAGGCTAGGCTCTCAGTCCACTGCACTGCTAAGCAGCCTCTCCCAATTGTAAACAGGTTATACATTCACATCTGACACATCTATGACAAGAGAGACCTGGAGGGATAGGTCCAGCAAAGACACAGACACAAAGACACACAGACACACAGACACACACACACACACACACACAGACACACAGACACACACACACACACACACACACACACACAGAGCCAAGTATACACAGCCATATATGCATAGCCGCTCAGCCCACTGCATTTTCCTAAGCTTGCTTTTTGAAGAATTTTAATTGGAACCAGCCCTCCAGGCTTTGGGCTGGGATAAGATGGGAATGGGGCATTAAAGGCCAGCTTACCCCTTGCTTCCAGCCTGGGACCAATGGACAAGAGTGTTGGGGGTGGAGGACAGGGGAGGCTGAGAGATAGATGCATTGGTTAGGGGCCAGTGTGGACAGGTCTTACCTCTCCCTCGTGGGTCTCTTTACCTTCTCCCAAGCCAGAGAGCAAGGAAGGGGTGAATGGGACAAAGAGGAGGAAGGCAGTAATCTGATGGGCAAGGGACCATATCCCATGTGGCCTCCTTGACAGGCTTCCCATCTGGAGATGAGGTGAAAAGCACAAAGAGGTACATGGGCTAGCAGAGGGCACATGGATGCTAGGACCTAGTGCATGCTGCCACTTCCTTGGGCCTTTGTCCATCCAAACCCCTTTTCTTGTCAGGCGGTGGATGGGGAATTCATGGCTTTGCTGACTGTGTGATTCCCTCCTCTTTGCATATTAGTGTTGACCTCCCTGCTATCCGGTCCCTGTAGCCTCGAGACTGTAGCCTTGGGGAAGAGGACAGAGTGCTGAGTGAGGTCCCTCAAATAACTGAACAAAGAGCCCCACCCCTCCTCAGTCCCCCAGGGTGGAGAGAGACCCGGTTTTGGTTTCTCCGACTCCGCGAACACACAGAGGTACACGTCCTACCATAGGAGGAAGCAATGACTGTTACGAGGTTGGCGGCTGTAGGGGGCACAGGCCTGGGGGCAGGTGGAGAGCAAGGGAGGGGTTGGCCCCTGCCCCATCCAACCTGGCCCAAGTGGAGTTGCGTCTCCCCATGAAGCCGCAGTGGCCCCGCCCGCTACTGAATATGGCAGGCGGTGGAGGACGTGGCCTGGCAGCACATGCAGGTGGGGTTCACAGACTTGGGAGGGATGAGGTCTAGGTCCTCGTCGTCAGGGATCTCATCTAACCGGTAGCCATCTTTCAGCAGCTGGATGTTCAAATCTTGGTTGATCTGCTGTAGGCAAAGGGGAGGGAGGTCAGGCTCAGGTCTTCCCCCAACAGGCACCACTCCCTGGTGCCACCAAGACCTGAGGCCATTGTCCCTGTCGCAGGCCACCCCTTGCCTGCCTCCCCATTCCACTCCAGATCTCTCCACAATCCCAGGCCTCGCCTTGTCTTCCTCTCCCCTCTGCCCTTGCTGTGGCCTCTTCCTTTGTAGCCCATCTTCCTGAGGCCTGTCCCACTACAGACCCAGCCCCGTACTAAGGTCAATTTTTCACCTTCGGTCCAGCTACTATTTGGGCCCATTCCTATAACTGCCACCTACATTTCACAACCCATTCCATTTAAGAGCCCTGTTCTAATAACTCTGGGCCCTAACCCTGGGGTGCCCACAGTTGAGCTCAGTGATTACTTCCAGGTCACCCCAGGCCCCATCCTACATGAGCTCCACCCTCAAGGGCTCTGCCCAGCAGTGCCTATTCCTTGCTTTCTTGGGGGGTGGCTTGGCATTGGCCCCACCCCTGCTCCTTGGTAGAGCTGGTTCTGCTCAGGCTCTAGGATAACAAGGGGTGGGGCCTCACCTCAGCAGAAGAGTAGCCAGAAGAGGAGTATCTGGACATGTCAAAGTCATCATCGCTGGCCATGGGGAAAAGAGGACAGAGAGCAAGTGATTCAGGGAAATTAAACAGAAACCTTGCACACTCCTGGGCCTCCCCCTCAGCTCTGCCCCAAAGGCCCTAAACAAACAGTATCTCCTAAACAAAATCTATGCTTGTTGTGCAGATGTAGATCATTGAAGACAGATTCCTAGCCCCACCTTTCCAAGTGAGTTGACGCCTTTGATTTTTTCTAAAAAGAGCTGTTACTCCCTTCAACTCCTTCTCTCCTCCTTATATTCTAGGCTCAAATCATGCTGACTTGCTGGGTTTTCCCACAGTCTAGGGCTAACCAGGTATTGCTCCAGGAGTAGGACTCTGTGTGTGCATGTATAGAGGGGCCATTAAGCATCAAACACTGCTGTTCAGAGACATCAGGGCCCACTAGGGGCAGTCACTGGACCATTTGTCCCAGGATGGCAGCAGACTGTGCTGGTCTCTGTTTCTCTCTGCCCTATTTCCTCCTTTTGGTAAAATTCGATTCCCTGGGGAATTCACCTTGGAGAGCCCCTGGCTAAGGAATACCCTGATTCTGGCAATATAGCAAGCATGGCCTGCACAGCCCACTGTGCTCACAAAGGTTCCAATGGCTTTCCCAGCTGACCCCAGCCCCATACACACCTGTCCGTGTCAAGGGCTACCAGTGGCTTCTCATCTGGGCTCTGGTCAAGTGAGGAATAGCCTTTATTGGGGACAACCAGCCTGGGTAAAGAATTTTTGGAGTTGAGAGGGAACCAGAACACACAAACCTGGCAAGAGACTGGGCTGGACCCCACCCCACCACCTCCCTGTTTTCCTCCCTTCCTCCCTCCCTCTCCCTCTTAGCTCCCACCTGTGGAGGGAGGGAAGAGGGGAGGCTCAGCAGAGACAGGTGCTGGCTGGCAGGGTCCAGATGGGCTAGAGAGGGCCTCTACCTTGTCCGGGCCATGACATTGTTCTTCTTGGGTTGTTGGTTGACAGGGCTGCCCATGCTGCCATTCTTGAGGGAGCCCTTCCGGGCCAGCTCCCGCTGCTTCTCTGCAGGAAACATGGGAAGGAAGCTGTGTCCTGCCCTCAAGGCCACATTGCCTTACCGTTAGGGGAAGCCTCCACGTGAAACCCCTTGCTCTTCTATAGACTGCTCAGTTGTGATGGTACTTGGCCCTGTATAATTTGAAGCAGACAGTCTGTGGGCTGTGTGACCCCTGCCTTGAAGAAGCCACAGCTCCTCTGTGGGAGCAGTCTGTACATGCTTGACGCCAAGGAAAGATCAGAGAAGAGCTGATCTCAGAAGGATGGGGCAGGCTTCCTGTGGGTGGGCTTGAGAGAGGAGTGCATACTAGGAAGGAGACATAGTGTGTGCCAGAACACATTTAGGGTAGAGATATGGCTCAATGGCTTTCCTAGCATGCACAAAGCCCTAGGCTTGATACCCAACACTATGAAAACCAAATCAAAACCAAAACCAAACAAAATAACCAAAGTGTTAGAAATGAGCATAAATGTGGATCTAGATGGGATGGAGGGGTTCTGAAGAGGGAAAGAAATGAGGTTGTTAAAGGAGCAATTTAGTCCTTATTCACTCAACAAACATTGGAGTCACAAATTGTGTCAAATTGTGTGCTAAGCAGTTAGAAACTCCCTCTGATTATAAACTCAGAGCATGAAGGCCTTGAATGTCAGACTTAAGAGTTAGGGATTAATATAGAAGAGAAAAGGAGCCACTGAAGGTTTTGGAGAAGGGGCAGAATGGGGCTGGAAGAGCAGATGGAATGAGGCTAGGAGAGCCCATTTGGCTGCACTGCTTAAGTGATGCTCTTGGTTCCTGACAGCCCCTGAGTTCTCCAAGGGTCCAGAGCCTAACAGGCTCATGGGGCAGGCAATCAGATGACCCATGGTGTGGTATATGATATTTATTCCCTCCAGTAATTGTCTGGGTCCTGCAGGAGGCCCATCTTCTCTTTTCTTTACTCATATCAAGTAAAGCTCAGATCTAGGAAAAGGGTCTTTTGTGTGAAAGGATTACTAGAAGTCATTTAAAAAAAAATAACCATGCACTCCTGAGTATAAGGATGGGAAGTGATTCATTTAAAAATGTCCCATAACCTCCAGGCCTCTGAATCTTTCATCTCTTTGACTCTCTTGACTGTCCTTTTTGCTCCCCCGGCCCAGAACTGGGGATTGAACCCAGGGCCTTTGCACTGAGCTACATCCCCAGCCCTTTTTAAAAAAAACACAAGTACTCATTAAGTCGCTAAATTTCCAAGGCTGGACTTGGAGTTGCAATCAGCCTCTTATAGTGCTAGGACAAGTGCATCACCGCCATGCAAAGCTCTGACTTTCTGACCTCCTGCCAGCTTTGCTAATCTCTTTACAGCAAGGGCAGCGGCCATTACCACTCCTAACCTCTAGGGGGTGCAATTTGCTTTAAAGTTCTTAATGGTGAGTTTTCTTAATCCAACTGGGAGTTAAAGATTTTGGTGAGTTTTGGTGGTAATGTAATGAGGAGATGAAAGAAAGGTCTTTTAAAAGCATATTAGCATTGTTTGAAATAGTAAAAAAATGCAAACAATAAACTAGCAAAAACCAAACTATGGACTACTATATAATCATTTAAAAGAATGAAGTCATTCTCTATATACTGAGATTGGAAAGGACAAAATGTGAAAGGGAAGAGAACAGGTTTCAGAAAATGTGTACAGTGTGATGCTACTTATGTCAACATATAAAATAAAAAAAACTACACAAACTGCAAAAGCTTAGAATGATACCTCTGGGGAAGGGAATGTGATAGGGGAGAGTAGAGAATTTATATTCATTAAAACACTCACACTGTTAAATGATAATTAACAAACAAAGCTGGCTGCAGTTTGAATTTGCTGTCCTAGGAGAATGGACATGCCTAGGAGGAGTGAGAATGACTCTCCTGCTTAGAAAATCAGCTGAAAAGGCTTTCTGAGTATGGTCTCAAAGGAGAAAAGCAAAGGGGTTGAGGGTAGGGGGAGTTGACTAAAAGAACAGGACTCTAGGTTTGGAGATGCAGCTCAGTTGGTAAAGCACTTGTTTAGTGTTCATGAAGCCCTGGATTTGATCCCCAGTAACACAAAAATAAAAATATAAAAAAATTAAGATAAAATGAAAGTCAAGAACTCTGTGGGAAGGAGTCCTGGCAGCTGTTGGGGGAAAGGGTTTTTGAAGAGATGGGAAGGAGTTCTTAGGGCTGAGGAAGGCCCAGTTATTTGTTGGGCAGCTGGACCCTGAGGAGAAAGACAGCTTGAGGGGGGCTGGGATGGCGGAGGAGGTTTGAAGGATAGTGATGACCGGCACTTTCCTTGTGTGCTTTGTGTTGTGATTTCTCTTTATGAAACCACGTCATTGGTAAAATTCTGAATGTACACAGCCTAGGGTCAGTAAAACTTTGATCCCTAAAGGGAAAGGGGAAGTGTTCAGATGTAGGAGTCATGAACAGTAGTTATGAGCCAGGTGACTCCAAAGGAGCCAGTGGCATAGCCAACTGACATTGGAGGGGATATGAAATAATCCCCCAAGGGAAAGGTGGTGAGATTTCTGGGAAGGCAAGGGATATTTGAGATTAATAAGAAAATAGAGGCCAGGGATTTGGCTCAGTGGTGCTGCCACTTGCCTCAAAAGCACAAGGTCCTGAGTTCGATTCCCAGTACAAAAAAAAAAAAAAAAGGAAAGAAAAAAAAAAAAAAAAAAAA